AGGCCCGAAAAGTAGACATTCAATGCAACACAAGTAAACACACCTGTGATCACAGAAAGAAAGTTGAGCACAAGTGATTTCCTATCAGCTTAATTGCATGAACACCAGAACTTTCTCAACTTTAAACCTACGGGCTTCATCTAGATCATGGCTCCACATAGTAAACAATTGCCAGAGGAATTAAAGAAAAAAAAAAACTGAGTGTGTGGCTTCTCAAAAATAGACAAGGATACAGGTGGACCGGTGAACCACTATAGATCAGTCAGTTACAGGAGCAATCAGGAGGTTAGGAACGAGGGATAGTAGCACTAATCAGAACCGCAGTGACCATCCTCATACAGTGATGCCACGGACAACATAGCTCTGAAAAACAGAGAGGCAAATGCTCCAGACTTGTCACAGGAGTTTCTGTGACAGCTTTTACAGTGTGAACAACTTTGCATCAACTTCTATAGGCAGAAAAAACACATGCTTCTTCTTTGGCAGTACAATGAAAGAGTAGACTTTGGTAAATGGTCTGCACTTATATTTACAGTGATATTCTCATTCCCCCATTCACACACACATTCATACACCAGTGGCGACAGAGCTGCCATGCAAGGTGCTGCCTGATATTGGGAGCAACTTTGGGTTCAGTGTCTTGCCCAAGGACACTTCGACCGTGGAGGGATCGAGCCGCTAACCTTGCGATTGGAGGACAACCGTTCTACTACCTGAGCCACAGCCGCCCCACTTTGCTAAAGAACATCAAAAGATAAACACTGGCAGCATATTCTTTGGTCAGATGAGACCAAGATACACAAGAGTGCAAAAACAGATAGCTCCATATTTATAGATTTTAGATTTATTTTTTTGCTGTTTTCTTGCGATAATGTCAATCAAACTGAAGTTGAGTGGATTTGACTCATGACAAAAATAGAGAAAACTTAAATTTGATGGATATTGTCTCAGGTAGATGATGGGAAAGTGGGTTTTCTGAAGGTTTGTGAAGATGGATGAGATCTTCAGTGTGCTGTGGGATGATTTGCAGCTGAGTGTGANGGTGTTTTAACAGCAGATATGTTGACATTGATTGTAGATGTAATTAATAATGTTACCAGCTGAAATCCAATCAGGTTTACCTGTTTCTATGTTATGTTGAGTGTTGGCTCACAGACGCAGCCTGCAGATACACTTTAATAGAAAATGCCATTAGCAACACTGCAGTGACTCAAAGCTCATTCAGGAAGCGCCTGCTCGCCATCATGCAAAGTTTTCCATGTGTGTCTCAGTGCTTCTCTCTGCAATAAATTTGTATTTTTCACCAGGACCCATCAAACTAGCAGCAGGTAAAGAAGGGCTTTGAGTATGCAAATAGCAACACTAGACTACTGTGGGCTTTATCGGCGCAAAAGTTCACCATGTTCTTTTAAATGAACCACTTCTGATGTTTCCTGTATTCTAACAATTAAAAAACGTCCTTCTGTGTCACGCTGGCTGTTGCTGTTGTTTTTGAAGAGTGATTAATGAAACTGGCATTTCTCTCTCTGATCTGATTGTTTCCTGTTTGACGAGGCGAAGGCGAAGGCAATTATGCAAAAATGCTTCGATGGTCCGTGAGCCTGTGGTTTAGGTGTGGTTGGTGTGGCGTGTTAAAATAATAACACAACCCGGCTGAGTCACACAGGTGCTGAACGGATGTCCCTGTGCTCTGTGTGATCGTCTTTTATCGTCCGAAGTGCTCCACAAGTCTGATTCTACACGACGCTCGACCAACAAAAAGCTCCTGATCCAACCATCACAACAGGGCCGAGGTCGACAGCTGGACTCTTCTCCTCTGTGGTTCCCTGGTGGTGGAACCAGTTACCAAGCTCAGCTGACTCCCTCTCAGTCTTTAAGAAAAGACTAAAGACCAGCTCTTCACTGAACACCTTTGCACTTGACAGACTGAAAACAAACAAACAAACAAATCCTCTTCCCTCCCACACAGCCTGCTGTTGGCATCGATGCCCTATCACACTTAAATTTGTTCTATGGCACTTATCCATATTGTTTTCTCCTGACTAGATCCTTGCTTGTGTTCTATCTGCTCTCAGATGTACGTCGGTTTGAATAAAAGCGTCTGCTGAAGGAAATTGTAGAATTGTAGATTCAAGAACAGGCCCGAAAAGTAGACATTCAATGCAACACAAGTAAACACACCTGTGATCACAGAAAGAAAGTTGAGCACAAGTGATTTCCTATCAGCTTAATT